CGTGTCAATAGTCCTCGGCTCAGGAGCTACTATTTTGGCCAGGTCAGTGCGGATTATTATGGTCCCTCCCGCCACTCAGGCCTTTAGCCACTTTGACCTTCTGAAAAAAAGGAGGAAGGAGTGGCCTCTCCGTTGGGGTAATGGGGTGCACTCGCGCATTTCCGGCCACCAAAAAAAAAAAGAGGAAATAAAAAAAAGAAGAAGGAAAAGAAACAAAAACAAAACAGGTCAAAGACGCGAAACGTTAAGTGTCGAAAACTGAAAACGCAAGCAAAGCAAACCAAAGAAAAGGTGTAGGTAGGGGGTATCCCCCGAAAAAAAAAATCAATAAATGTAATGGCACAACCGTAACCCCCCCTTTTGTTACCCTCTCTGCTCCCTCTTTCCATGGTAATTTACACGAAACAGCTGAAAAAAACAACATAAAAAAAAGGATACTGTTGAAAGTATAGACTATTCATACCCAGTACTTATAGCCCATAGCTTTTAAGAGCTTAAGATTTTGAATATAGCTTTCTTCATCTATAAACCAATATACCCTTTTAATACTACAAATACTGGGTAGGGAAACCAACCAAACAGACAGAGTGAGGACAAAAACAAACATTGAACAACAAAAAAAATACAAAAAAAAAAGCAGAGAAAAAAATGAAAATCAATAATAAACACACTGACACATCGGATCGGAATTGGCGCCCGAGCAGAAGGACAACCAACCATGGAGGCATGGCTGTGGCAGACAATGATTGTACATAATTGCAATTGTTCACCGATTGGCCTGCGTGTGGGCGTTTCCCACTGCGGCTTGTTGCATGCCACAAACAACAGCCTGCACACAAATTAGTACTGACTTTGTATGCAACTGTGTGTGTCCTGGATGTGTCCTGAATGTGTCCTGGATGTGTGTACTTTGCGTCAACATGCGTATATATGGGTATGGACATAAGGTGTTTCAGTATGTGATTATGCTGATTCCAGTTGACAGTTTCTCTGTGCGGCTCGTCCTTTTGCGTCACTGCTTTCCATTTTATCGGTATTTTAACCTGTCTATTGGCTTAATATTACATTCGGGGATAATTCAGTGTCCAGGGACTTGTTCAGGGGGAAAAAACAGGTCACATAGTCCTTGATCATTTGCTGTCACATTTCGTTTGCAATCCTCTCTCTCTCCACTATACAATACTTAATTAAAGCCAGAATTAAATACTCATTGTTCGTGATTCGATTTGCGTCACTAGCCGCCAAATTCTATCGCATCTGGTAATTGGGTTAACAATTCCGATGCATTTTTTATTCAAGGTCTCGGGCAATGGAAAACATGTTGTTTTTCTCCCCAAAAAGTCAATAATTTCATTAATTCCATGACTTTTTTTTTTAAAGAAAGAGCTTCCTTAAAGTTTCTTTAAGTTCCCCCTTTTTATTTCTTTGTCTTTCTTAGCCTTCTGATTCATCACCTTTTGGGCCCTCAATGCCCTTTGGCTCTGACCTAAGCAAACACCACTTCTCCCGACCAAGATTTTGATGGATATCGCACTTTTGTAGGACCACACGGCGTATGCGTAATTAATTGTAAACAGGAAGTCAAAACACTTTCAAAAATAACCATTTTCCTACAGTACACAAGAAAAAATGACCAAGAAAGTCAATTTTTGACATATTCTTTGACAGCTAATTAGTGTGACCTTACTCTTAGCAACTAGGGCCAGTGTGGTACAACTTCTTTGTCATTTCTTCGAATTTCTTTATATTTCCATAAAGTTTTTCATAATTTTTCTTCAACTGTTTATCAGGTTTTTGGTGGAAACTTCAAAGCAAGACGCTGAGTGGCATGCCCCATTCCGTCTATGGTTCTTTTTTTTTTTTTTGGCCTTTTCGCCACTTTGGTGGCTTTTTTTCTGCCACTGTGTTGTTGTTGCTAATGCTGTTTGGCTTGCTGACGAAGATCAAACAGCGTACAGGCTCCTAAGGGGGCAAAGGTCAGGGGCGGGGCAAACAGCAATGTGCACTCGAGATAAACGTGCGAGGCAAACCGCAAAAGTGACAAACCCCCTAAAAAAAAAAGAGGCAGCAGAAAAATAAATAATAAAAAAAAGGCCAACAAAAATGGTTTGTGTCTTTTAAGCTCCCCCCTTTTTCTCTATCTCATTCTCTTATTTTTTTTAATCCCCGCCCCTGGCAAGCTAAACCACTGAAAAATGCTTGCCATCGGACTAGGCGGGATTTTTGTGGATTTTGGTTTTTTTTTGGTTTTATTTTTTTGGCCATCCTGTCGCAAGCGAAGCGGCTTTGCTGTTCAATTTTAATGAGTTTGTTTGCCAAACAAGGACAAACACACCAAAAATTTTTGCCTATTTGCAACTTGTGGCCAAATCGAATAGAACCAGAAGTGGTTAGTGTGTGCTTTTTGGGCGGCAAAGTGTGAGGCATAAAGTCAACTAATTAAAAAATCTGCCTAAGCCAGTTGGCCTGGCCAGGGACCAGTGTCTTATTGCCAACGTTGCGGAAAATTCGCAGCCCAAACAAACACCATGGTGTTGTGAGCACTTTTCCAAACTTCCCCTGATGGATTGGCCCGACCAAAAAAAAAAGGTTTTGAATAATGACTTTGTGATATTTATTAAAGAGTTGGTAACCCATATTTGGAGCTGGCTTTAAGGACACGAAGGAATCAGGTTAAGTATTCTAGACAGAGTTTATGGTTTGGCGTGCAGACATCGAAATGATGGCACGCACTTTATGAGGTCCTAACCCCATAAATGGCCTTTGCCAAACCAACCTCATATTATATATATTTTATATATTCATCTTCAACTTTAGCCTGAAACGGTTTCCCAATCGTTTTTTATTTGAGCTTGGCATGAAAATCACATTAGAATCTATTGCCTTTCACCTGACGACCCATTTTCCCCCTCAGACATTTGCATTCCCGCCCTAATATGCCACACTTGTGTATGTGCATTTCCTTTATGGCATTTTGTATCTGAATGTAGCCTGTGTATCTTTGTATATCAGTCCGTTTCCGTTCTCAGGTCAGAACGAGCTAAAAGCTGGCTAGATGGCTGGCTGGCTGGCATTGCCTTTTCCCTCCACATCGAAATCCTTTTGGAAAAGGCTTTATGTCTTCTCGCTCAGTAATCCGCTTTCGACAGTTGTGGAGCGGAAAAGTGGGATTCCTGCTGTGTGTGTATATGGAGAACTATGTCTCTAAAGAAGGCAAAAGCCCACCATATTCCCCATTTCCATTCCCCATTCCCCCATCATGGCTGTCAAGTCACAGTTGGGCCTAACTAAATCTATTGATGGCTCCTTTTGCCAGGATTCCAATTGAAGATGGCAAGGAATAGGGCACTAGTTGAGAGGGAAATAGTATCCTGCAACACAAAACAGGATACCTTAATAATACTTTTATTTAATTTCAAATTTTACTAAAAAAAAACCCAGTCCCTCTTCATTGAACCAAGGATGAGAAATGGCATTACTTGGGGCCTTTTACAGGACATTCCAGGACTTGCTTTTGGGGCCATGATTAACCGCAGTTGTCCAGATACTTTTCGGCCATTTTGCATTGCCGGACAAATGCAGTTCACTCTGTCAGTGGCATCAACATGAAGTCCATCAATTGTGCGTCCATTTATGTCACTCAGTATCGCCCTCTCTTTCTCGTTGCCAGCCCTCTGTCTCTTTTATTTGATCCATCCATCCCACCATCCGTGTATCGCTTCTCTTAAATCCTCTTCCGCCCTTTTATCCAAACTAATGAGCTTTGACGACACACTGAGAGATACTGATGGGGGTTGGTCTAAAAGTATGGGGTATTATTATTGGTATTATTGGTTACTTTGTTCCTATTTCATTTAGATAACTAGGATAGTAATTAAAGGGATTTAGTTTAGAAATACTCGAAAAGTATCGGGTAGTATTATTTATATTATTAGTCTTTAATATCTACCTCTTTAATAGAGATAATAATTCCGGTAATTCTTCAAAAGTACCGGGTATCATAATAGGGTTAGATTTTAGAAGAATCTTTAAAGCTTTCTTCAGATACCATTTCCAAATGATAAGATATCTTAATATTTTAAATATTATTAAACAAAAGTACCGGGTATCATGTCTACTACCATCCTAACTAACCTCAGATGCCTTAATATCTCTAATATTTTTCCCTCCCATAGCTTTTTCCAGTGCACTCCCATGTGGAACAAAGAAGGGGGTTCTGTTAATTATCTCATAGCTCTGTTCTTGGTCCTTGTTGTTGTTGTTTATGGCTGGAGTACTATTCTGGCCATGTGTTGCCCGATTTCAGTCGTTGTCGCTGATGGTGATGCCTGTTATTGCTGATGGCCGATGGCTGAACATTTCCAAATGGTAACTGCCACGTTCCAACTTCGAACGACAACTGTTTTGGATCCATTGGCAGTGTGGCAATGGTGGTTACTGACTGGGTAGAGAGCAGGGAGTCCTTTTGAAAGTCCCTTTTTGACTGCAGCTGAGACTGAGCCGTGGTTAACCAGGCTCACAATCCGATTTAAGGTGAGGTACCCTTCCCCAGACCTACCCACAATTGGCCTGTCCTAATTGAAAGTGTTGCCATTGACCGCAAGCCAAAAAGGGATTTCAATGTCGGCCCTCAAATTGCACAACACCTTCCGGGCCTTACCCTCTCCAGGACACACACATGGGTATGGGTGGGAGCATGGGTGGTGGAACAATTCAATTTCAGAGAACGGACAGTTCTCGGTCACACATGCAATTGTGTGCCTGGGTGGTATGGGTGCTCTATTTATAGCTCCCTCCCTATAGCCCACCCTATAGCCCCCTACAGCATCCTGTGTTCGCCACTGACAACTTAACGGAAAATTCATTTCACACTTTCCCGCCACCGCCTCTTGCAACAATTTTCAGCCAATATGGAGCCCCACCATTCGAGGGGAGATTCGAAAATATTCGAAATAAGATATGTCTATAAATCTTGAATAAATAAAAGTAAAGGTACTTACGCTGCGAATTGGAGCGCCGGATGATGTTCTCGAGGAATGTGTTCTGCGGCGCAACCAGTCCACGTCGTCCGCCTGGCATTTTGCCGGCTACACGCTACAGTCCTCTCCTGCTGCCCAATCCTTTCCTGCTACTCCGTCGGCTACTCCTGGGTTATGGGTTTTCTGTATTTTATATTTTTGGTGCGGGACTAGCACCACTTCCGATTCTGCTGACAGCTGGGGGCGGGGAGGGGGACTGGGCCGGGACTGTACTGCTGCTGCTCCCCTTCTGACAGGTGACAGTTGGTGACGGATGACAGATACCACCACCACCACCACCAGATGACGGATGACAGTTGTCAGTGTGCTGAAGAGTGTCTGAGGGGGATGGATAGATGGATAGTATCCGCTGCTACCGGATCCGGATCCAGATCCCTACTGATCGTTGCCTTTTTCTTGGTTTGGATGTGGAACGGGTCCTCTAGCTCATACGGATTTCCATACGGCGGCGGGGACGCCGGGCTTTGCTGCAACTTGGCTGCCCCGAGCGTCCGTCATTCTCTTGCTGTCTCACTCTCTCACTCACTCTGACTCCCTCTCACTCACTCGCACTCACTCACACACACACAGGCACACACGCACGCACACACGCAGAGTTGAGTCCAATCCGATCTGAATCACACAGTCTTATCGGTTGCATATGGCACTGGAAGTGATAAGAAATAAAATATTAAATTAATTTTTTTATGAATTTAATATTTAAAATTAGTAATTTAACATTAAAAAGTATTTAGGTTGTTAGCTTAATGAAGTATATCAGATTTGTGGCTCGATTCTCCGCCATTTTCTTTCCTAAGAATATGAAAAGATAAAATTTTATAGATTTTTGGATATGGACCACAGTGATGGCTATACCTTCCCCAATTCTTATCCGATTCTCAAGCGGAGTAACTTAAACGATTTCTAGATCGATTCTCCACCATTCTGCATCAAAATCCCAAGACAAGAGATTTTTTTTTTTTTTTCCATTTTTCCTGATGGGATCCCTGAAAATGCTGTTTTCCCCTATTGGGTCCACTGGGATGGCTATATCTTCCCCAATTCACATCCGATTCTTAAGCGGAGTACCCTAAACGATTTCTAGTGCAATTCTCCACCATTCTGCACCAAAATCCTGAGACGAAATATTTTTTAAATTTTTTGTCTATTTTTCCCGATGGGACCCCTGAAAATGGGGTTTTCCCCTATAGGGTCCACTGGGATGGCTATATCTTCCCCAATTCACATCCGATTCTTAAGCGGAGTACTTTAAACGATTTCTAGTGCGATTCTCCACCATTCTGCATCAAAATCCTGAGACGAAATATTTTTTAAATTTTTTGTCCATTTTTCCTGATGGGACCCCTGAAAATGGGGTTTTCCCCTATAGGGTCCACTGGGATGGCTATATCTTCCCCAATTCACATCCGATTCCTAAGCGGAGTACTTTAAACGATTTCTAGTGCGATTCTCCACCATTCTGCACCAAAATCCTGAGACGAAATATTTTTTAAATTTTTGTCCATTTTTCCTGATGGGACCCCTGAAAATGGGGTTTTCCCCTATAGGGTCCACTGACATGGCTATATCTTCCCCAATTCACATCTGATTTTTAAGCGGAGTACCTTAAACGATTTCTAGTGCGATTCTCCACCATTCTGCATCAAAATCCTGAGACGAAATATTTTTTAAATTTTTTTTCCATTTTTCCCGATGGGACCCCTGAAAATGGGGTTTTCCCCTATAGGGTCCACTGGGATGGCTATATCTTCCCCAATTCACATCCGATTCTTAAGCGGAGTACTTTAAACGATTTCTAGTGCGATTCTCCACCATTCTGCATCAAAATCTTGAGACGAAATATTTTTTAAATTTTTTGTCCATTTTTCCTGATGGGACCCCTGAAAATGGGGTTTTCCCCTATAGGGTCCACTGGGATGGCTATATCTTCCCCAATTCACATCCGATTCTTAAGCGGAGTACTTTAAACGATTTCTAGTGCGATTCTCCACCATTCTGCATGAAAATCCTGAGACGAAATATTTTTTAAATTTTTGTCCATTTTTCTTGATGGGACCCCTGAAAATGGGGTTTTTCCCTATAGGGTCCACTGGGATGGCTATATCTTCCTCAATTCACATCCGATTCTTAAGCGGAGTACCTTAAACGATTTCTAGTGCGATTCTCCACCATTCTGCATCAAAATCCTGAGACGAAATATTTTTTAAATTTTTTGTCCATTTTTCCTGATGGGACCCCTGAAAATGGGGTTTTCCCCTATAGGGTCCACTGGGATGGCTATATCTTCCCCAATTCACATCCGATTCCTAAGCGGAGTACTTTAAACGATTTCTAGTGCGATTCTCCACCATTCTGCACCAAAATCCTGAGACGAAATATTTTTTAAATTTTTTGTCCATTTTTCCTGATGGGACCCCTGAAAATGGGGTTTTCCCCTATAGGGTCCACTGACATGGCTATATCTTCCCCAATTCACATCTGATTTTTAAGCGGAGTACCTTAAACGATTTCTAGTGCGATTCTCCACCATTCTGCATCAAAATCCTGAGACGAAATATTTTTTAAATTTTTTTTCCATTTTTCCCGATGGGACCCCTGAAAATGGGGTTTTCCCCTATAGGGTCCACTGGGATGGCTATATCTTCCCCAATTCACATCCGATTCTTAAGCGGAGTACTTTAAACGATTTCTAGTGCGATTCTCCACCATTCTGCATCAAAATCTTGAGACGAAATATTTTTTAAATTTTTTGTCCATTTTTCCTGATGGGACCCCTGAAAATGGGGTTTTCCCCTATAGGGTCCACTGGGATGGCTATATCTTCCTCAATTCACATCCGATTCTTAAGCGGAGTACCTTAAACGATTTCTAGTGCGATTCTCCACCATTCTGCATCAAAATCCTGAGACGAAATATTTTTTAAATTTTTTGTCCATTTTTCCCGATGGGACCCCTGAAAATGGGGTTTTCCCCTATAGGGTCCACTGGGATGGCTATATCTTCCCCAATTCACATCCGATTCTTAAGCGGAGTACCTTAAACGATTTCTAGTGCGATTCTCCACCATTCTGCATGAAAATCCTGAGACGAAATATTTTTTAAATTTTTTGTCCATTTTTCCCGATGGGACCCCTGAAAATGGGGTTTTCCCCTATAGGGTCCACTGGGATGGCTATATCTTCCCCCAATTCACATCTGATTCTTAAGCGGAGTACCTTAAACGATTTCTAGTGCGATTCTCCACCATTCTGCATCAAAATCCTGAGACGAAATATTTTTTAAATTTTTTGTCCATTTTTCCCGATGGGACCCCTGAAAATGGGGTTTTCCCCTATAGGGTCCACTGGGATGGCTATATCTTCCCCAATTCACATCTGATTCTTAAGCGGAGTACCTTAAACGATTTCTAGTGCGATTCTCCACCATTCTGCATCAAAATCCTGAGACGAAATATTTTTTAAATTTTTTGTCCATTTTTCCCGATGGGACCCCTGAAAATGGGGTTTTCCCCTATAGGGTCCACTGGGATGGCTATATCTTCCTCAATTCACATCCGATTCTTAAGCGGAGTACCTTAAACGATTTCTAGTGTGATTCTCCACCATTCTGCATCAAAATCCTGAGACGAAATATTTTTTAAATTTTTTGTCCATTTTTCCCGATGGGACCCCTGAAAATGGGGTTTTCCCCTATAGGGTCCACTGGGATGGCTATATCTTCCCCAATTCACATCCGATTCTTAAGCGGAGTACTTTAAACGATTTCTAGTGCGATTCTCCACCATTCTGCATCAAAATCCTGAGACGAAATATTTTTTAAATTTTTTGTCCATTTTTCCCGATGGGACCCCTGAAAATGGGGTTTTCCCCTATAGGGTCCACTGGGATGGCTATATCTTCCTCAATTCACATCTGATTCTTAAGCGGAGTACCTTAAACGATTTCTAGTGCGATTCTCCACCATTCTGCATCAAAATCCTGAGACGAAATATTTTTTAAATTTTTTGTCCATTTTTCCCCGATGGGACCCCTGAAAATGGGGTTTTCCCCTGTAGGATCCACTGGGATGGCTATATCTTCCCCAATTCACATCTGATTCTTAAGCGGAGTACCTTAAACGATTTCTAGTGCGATTCTCCACCATTCTGCATCAAAATCCTGAGACGAAATATTTTTTAAATTTTTTGTCCATTTTTCCCGATGGGACCCCTGAAAATGGGGTTTTCCCCTATAGGGTCCACTGGGATGGCTATATCTTCCCCAATTCACATCTGATTCTTAAGCGGAGTACCTTAAACGATTTCTAGTGCGATTCTCCACCATTCTGCATCAAAATCCTGAGACGAAATATTTTTTAAATTTTTTGTCCATTTTTCCCGATGGGACCCCTGAAAATGGGGTTTTCCCCTATAGGGTCCACTGGGATGGCTATATCTTCCTCAATTCACATCCGATTCTTAAGCGGAGTACCTTAAACGATTTCTAGTGCGATTCTCCACCATTCTGCATCAAAATCCTGAGACGAAATATTTTTTAAATTTTTTGTCCATTTTTCCTGATGGGACCCCTGAAAATGGGGTTTTCCCCTGTAGGACCCAGGACCCACTGGGATGGCGATATCTTCCCCAATTCACATCCGATTCAACACTTTCCTTCCTTAAATCCAAACTAAAGCGCTCCATTAGCCAATAAATGATGTAGAAGTATTTGATTTATCGAATTATTGAAACTCCACCTGCCAACAAACACGTTTATCTTCTGAAATCGAAAATAATTGATTTAACACGACGACGGCACAATAAATTGAATGAAAACTAAACAGCATTCAGACACGTTCCGGCAGGACGAAAGTGTTGAGATAAGTCTTTTGACTCCATAATCCTCATTCAGGAGGCAATCGAAGTAATTCCACTAATTGAAAACCCATCAGATATTCGAGCGAAGCGCATTAGGGGCATTAGGTATGTAATTGTTTGAAAAAAGAAAAATACGCAATTAAAGTTTTAGGCGATTGGGGGACGGATTTGAAAATGTAATTAGTTGGAGAGTAGGTCGCAATGACAAATTAATGACAATGCTTTGGATATTAATTGAACGCATTTTAGTTAAATCAATTAAATGGAAACAATGCAAGGCCTTTTTCTTATCCAAGAACCCAAAAACGGAAGTGCATGGAAATGCAAATTTGCTGTCAAGTTGCATTAATAATGCATCTTATACAATTCTGAATTTGGTAACATTAAGTATACGCAACGTGCAACGAGCAACGTGCAACCAGCAAGCCAGCAGCCACTAGCAACCAGAAACCAACAACGTGCAACCCTACCATCTACCATCTACCACCTACCACCCCCTTTGCATTGATTTGCGCATTTGTGCAGAACTTGTGCTAAATATGCCCCGAGTTTCGCAATTAATTATGAAATTCGAACAGACAACAGGGCGTATGCTTAATGTGCACATTCAAGCTTTATCTTACTCCGTTATATAAACAATACATTTAGATACCAATAGAACACAGACACAGTTAGATATATAGCCTGCATAACTCTCGATGCATCTGGGATCTGGCAGAGTTCCTGATTAACAACTCCCCCGATGAACAGCCTCAAAGCTGCCGTCAAATTAGCCAATTAAAGCCCGAAAC